GAGATACTATCCCATTATTATGAGATACTATCTCATTATTATGAGATACTATCTCATAATTATGAGATGCTATCTCATATCTCATAATTATGACTTGGCTAAGTCATAATTATGAGATACTATCTCATAATTATGAGATAGCTAAGTCATAATTATGAGATACAAGTTTTATTTATTTTTTATCAGGGTGGCGGAAATGGGCTTCCATAACTGCTGTGAAATAAAGGGACATTTAAAAAAAAGAATATCAATTTAATTTTCTATTTGAACTTGTAATACCACCTTCTGGCCACTAGCGGTCGGTGTTGTGTCCTTTCTCCATTCCTCAGCTAGACTTGCCTGAATGTCCAAGAAAAAAAAAATGCTGGCTTAAAAACACGACCCCCTCCTCACCGTGCCGAGAAAAACATGGCGGACAAGCGCTTTAACCTACACTAGAAACAAATTTAAAAAAGCAAGGTAAAAACCGAGCAAAGTCACATTGGAGGTCTGAGCTGAGCCCCTGTGTACCGTTAGCAGAGCTCCGGTTTGATGAAATGCTAACATTCGCTGTCGGATTAACAAGCCACTTAGCATGCTAAGTTAGCATAAAACAGTGGGCATGTGTAGCGTAGCATGCGCATGAATGCTGCATTTCTGTCTGTAGTGTTTTAATCCAAGTTATAATAATGTGCTGTTAAGCCAGTAATGAGTGATGGTTAGCATTCTTGACACGATTTGTTTTTATGTAAACATACGGCGAAAGAGAGGAAAAGAGGGCGTTCTAGCGTTGGCTGCTTTGTGTTATGAATGGGAGCTCAACACATTTCGACAACCTGTGAGGCATTTTCATGAACATGTCGGACGAATGAAACCGAAAACTGTTTTCTCTTGGCGTCCAGAGGAAGTTGTGTGTCTGCTGGACGCTCTAACGCGAGTCCGCCTGTCAGTTTTGCAGCAGCTTTGAAAACAAGGAGCGGGGTCACTTTAATTTGGACGCCATCCCCCTTTGGTGGAGGAAAACAAAAAAAGGCGCACTTCTGTTGAAGGGGAACTCATCCAGAGAAGAAAAACGCTGACAAAACTGTTATGAAGTTTTAAGGTAAGCGTGGTAAAATGAACTGTCAAACTTTATATGCAGCTGCAGAGGGCCAGAATGTATTTCCTGAACAAATGCAAATATTTGGCTCATGAACTGGTATCACTGTGTAGGGATGTGGATGAATTTTTAATCCTATACCAATTTTAAATCTGACAGCGGATTCCAAAAGAACATTTCAAACCATACAAAATAACACCAAAATTATGTGATTATCTGAAGTATGAGGGAAGTTATTGATTGTTTAGGTCAGTGGTTCCCAAACTTTTCAGCTTTTGACCCACAAAATAACAGCAGCAGAGACCTGAGCCCACAACTATTTTTGGATGACAAACATTTGTATCAGGTCAACTAAACATGGACTTAGTAACAATATGCATTATTCTACATTTATACATTTTAGGCAACTAAGGCAAAAAATGTAATTAATTTAGAAAATCTTTTCAGGACCCCKCCTTGATGTTTCAGGACCCCACCTTGGGTCCCGACCCAAACTTTGGGAACCACTGGTTTAGGTGAAATCAGCTCATGTTTTCTTGCTGCAGTTCACAGCAGAACCAACGGGGCCTGTGTGACCATTTCACCTTGCTGTTTTCTAATTTTGCTCATAACTTCCTCAGTGTTCAAGATATCGCCGTGAAATTTTAGGAAAATATTCCCATTCTGGTTTTGTAGGAAGCATCTTGTATCCTAAAAAACGAATAAAACTTTATAATAGCCAATTCAAAAGTAGCAGAAAAGGTATAAAATAACATTACAAGGCAAACTGCAGCATCAAATCAACTTAATGTGTCTTAGAAAGTAAGGAAATTAAAACAATTTAAAAACCATGTGGACGTGTTTTGTAAACAAAGCTCCTCAACCAATGACAGCGTGTTAAATGTGTCAAGTGACGAAGACGAGCATCAAAACACTTTGCAACAAGCGCTGTTCCAGATTTAAAAAAAAACATACTTCGACATTTCAAATCGTTATCAAATTTGGAACAAGGCCTGATAAAATAATGTTCTTCATGGCAGCTTGTCTCTTTAAGGGGTCACTAGAAAAACTCGGGTGATTTACTTTGATCCTCTTTTCAAAAAATTGGCTCTTCAAAACGCATCAACAAAAATTAAAAACTGGAAGACGAGGCTGTAGCTAACTATCTTGACGGCAGCCCAATTTGTTGAAATTCGTAGAAATAACGAAGCAGGAGGAAATTACAAGCAAACGCACCGAGCAGCCTTGCAAAATCTGGTCACAGCAGTTTGGGAAGAAAATGGCAGCAGCTGCTGACGACATGTCAACATCCGTACACTGTGCTGTGTGCTAACTCAGTATTCACAGGAATTTGTCAGCCAGTATTTCGTTTTCTGTGTTTTCAGATAACAAACCTACATACAAACAAATATGTGCATGTTTTCTGAATTTATAACTATGGGTGTGTCCAAAACGGCAGGACGGGTCCTCCYAAGGTCGAATTTGTCGGCCGCATACGTCACAGTGCCGCGACGAAGGCCGTCCAAGGCTGTGTCCAAAACGGCAGGACGGGTCCTCCGAAGGTCGAATTTGTCGGCCGCATACGTCACAGCGCCGCGACGAAGGACGTCCAAAACGGAAGACTCCTCCGATGCGTCCGACAAATACGTCCTTCTTTTTCCCCGAATCGAAGGACAGGTCTGATGGATCCTTCCCGGCCCAGCATATCCCATAATGC